TTAGATGTGAGGAGAATCTGTATGAGCTGAAGCAGATCTGGCTTTACTCCACTGATTTATGCTTAAAACTTTAAATATTCTGTCAGCATGCAGTATCTGGCCACTTAAAACATCTGAAAGTCTTGTGTATTAGACAGCAAGTGTCATTTAGTTTAAAGAGAGATGCACAAACACACTCTTCAACATTGGGCAAAAAGAAATTTGAAATAATAACAGCAAATCAAAAGTGAAAATCAGATCAATGGCACTCAAAGAGGAAGAGAAAAGAATCAGATGAAATAATGAAACACAGAGAGCTGCTGATGTGTCAGTAATATTCATCAGAGCGCCATATGTTCATTAGCTCAGAGTTTAATGAACACAATCATAATCTCTCATTCTGTCAATGCTGCACATTCATAATCATACAGTCACATATTCATGCATTTCATTACAGGTTCATTTCTTCTCCGTGCAAATAACTGCATAAAATCATAAACTTGACCCATGCTTATACATATTATTAAGACCTGACGATATTAAAAATAAATGCATTGATATTAATATTATTTTATTGGCATTTTATTAACATCAATAATAGTAATAAAAAAGCCTTTAAAAAATTAAAAAGCACTAGATCAAGGTGCTAGCAACACCAAAGTCATGGGTTTGATTCCCAGGGACTGAACTAATTAACACTTTGGATAAAAGCATCTGCCACAGCAAAAATAATTATCATATTAACATTTTTAAATTAATGGTTCATCTTAAAAAACTTTATTTTTTATGAAACCTTCACTGAATGCATCTGTTTGTGCATGCAAGACATGTCGGCCGTTGTTCTGAAACACATTGGTTTATTCTGTACCGGCACAATAAATGACAGGATTCTCACCAGTAACACATTTAATAAAACTTCATGTTTTTGTACTGTGAGCTGCAGATTTTGATTGGTTTATGATGAAAATCATGAGTTTTTGAGTTTTTCTTCCCAAGAAACAGCAGGAATATGATTCAGTCATTGGTGTGAATGTGGAGCAGCTCTGATAAATCCATGTTCAACAACAATCCCTTCTGTCTGCTTCCATCCTTAAAGAGGATCAGAGCTCAATCACGTGTGTGAGGACATGAGACGCATGAAGACACACACTGTGTGACAGACCTGCAGCAGACCACAGTCAGACGATGAGCTGATGAACTGATGAGACACACCGCAGCACAGGAACACTGATGAAGACACCTGATGAACGCACACTCACACTCACTCTCACACACACACACACGCACACACACACACACGCACACACACACACACGCACACACACACACACGCACACACACACACACGCACACACACACACACGCACACACACACACACGCACACACACACACACGCACACACACACACACGCACACACACACACACGCACACACACACACACGCACACACACACACACGCACACACACACACACGCACACACACACACACGCACACACACACACACGCACACACACACACACGCACACACACACACACGCACACACACACACACGCACACACACACACACGCACACACACACACACGCACACACACACACACGCACACACACACACACGCACACACACACACACGCACACACACACACACGCACACACACACACACGCACACACACACACACGCACACACACACACACGCACACACACACACACGCACACACACACACACGCACACACACACACACGCACACACACACACACGCACACACACACACACGCACACACACACACACGCACACACACACACACGCACACACACACACACGCACACACACACACACGCACACACACACACACGCACACACACACACACGCACACACACACACACGCACACACACACACACGCACACACACACACACGCACACACACACACACGCACACACACACACACGCACACACACACACACGCACACACACACACACGCACACACACACACACGCACACACACACACACGCACACACACACACACGCACACACACACACACGCACACACACACACACGCACACACACACACACGCACACACACACACACGCACACACACACACACGCACACACACACACACGCACACACACACACACGCACACACACACACACGCACACACACACACACGCACACACACACACACGCACACACACACACACGCACACACACACACACGCACACACACACACACACACACACACACGCGCGTGTCACTGAACACTGACATCTGCTGGACACAGAGAGCAAAGCTGAACTGAAGCTCACTATGAGATTTTACACAACATTATGAACATGAATGAGACTAAATGTGAATGTCTGAGACTCAACTGGACATTTTTCACTGAATTAAACATGAAACACAACAAACCACTTGAGTTAATACACTACCTAAAACCATAAAAAAAATTGTTAAATCAAATAAAAATAACTGAAATAAAATAAAAACTATTTTATTATTTTACCGGATTTTAATGTGATGTAGTAAAATAACTAAAACTAAAACTGAAATAAAAATTAATAAAAACTATATAGACACATTGGGAAAAAAATTAAAGTACTACAAAATGACAAAAAAAAAAAAGCAAAATTACTAAAATTACAAAGTTAAATGAAAACTGAAAATATAAAAATAAAAATAACCAAAATATTAATAAAAAACTATAACAGTATCTGAATGATATTAAAATAACACATGGCTTATTGCTTTAAAAATAAGTGTTTTGATACCGTGTCTCAGGAGAATCAGCAAACAGAGGACTCAACGCTTTCACAAAAGACTTGTTTATATTTTATAAATACTTTTTCATTGAACAATAATCAGCAGGGATCCATTGCCTTAAAAAAAGTGAAAAAGAGGGACAAAATAAACACATCAAATAACAAATATTCATACCTTCTCTTTTACTCTCTGAAATCAAACGAAAGAGACACACAGATCCAAAACAAAAGCAAAACAAAACAACAACAAAAAAAACAAACAAAAAAAACCATCAGATAACAACAAAGCTCACAATGAGACAAATTAACAAACAAAACAAAAACACAAAAAACAAATAAGATACAAAACAAAAGCAGATTTCGGAACGAGCAACAGTATCTGTGATTGGTCAGTATTAACTAATGGTCGATCAGGAAACTATATATATACAGTATATATAGTTCATATATATATATATATATACTTTCTCTGGAATGATCTGGAATATTTCCCAGTGGTCTGAAAGGTTTAAAATCCTCCGTATAAAACCAATCTGTCTATAATAATCATCAACACCACAGATGATTGACAATTAAACAATCAGCCAATAAAATAAATCACAAAACAAAACCTCACGAACTTCAGAGAAACAAACTAAATAGAGATTAAAATGAGCTGCAGATAAAAACTAGAGTGAAATCAGGCTCAGTGAGTCTCGTCCAACCAGTGTAACGTGCATTTACCGTGTTTTTACACCATATCTGATTTAACTCGTCTGAATATTACTGAAGAGCTCATTAAGACTGACGATAATCATAAATAATAATAAATCCACTGCACTTACTGAGCACAAGACTGCAACAGCACTTCAAAACATTGTTAAACTAAGAGGACTTGAAATGTAGATATATGCTTATACTTCATTTTAAATTATTTCTTTAAATACAATTACAAGTCTCAAAAGTATGATTTAGAGAACTCGGACTCATAACTCAGAGAAAAGGACAGGAATTTAAATAGATTTGTTTTCTCAAAAATAGTCCTGAAAATATATTGCATGTTCCAGCTTTAGAAACAGATTTAATAAAATATCTCCTTTTTGTTCAGAAGTTGAAAGCAGAAAGACGATGCTGTTCACAAATGCAAAAATCGCCATTTCAATCAGAATATGAATTATTCTTCAGTAATCACTGGAAAGAAGCGTTCACCAGCTGAACTAGTTAAGAGTCATAACTAGTATCTTGTCAAGCATGGACAAATAACTCCGCATGTTCAATGTTCAATAAAAATAATACATTTCTAATCCATATATTTTGCATCTAATATTTGCCACACATGTATATTAAGGTGCTACTAAACAGCTGTGTCCGTCTCTCATCAACAGCAGGTGAAAAACGATATTAAACACAAATAATAAAATGCAACTAGCCTTATAATGGTGTCTAGAGGAACAAAATGAAGAGTTATTAACTCGAAGCACGCGTTTAGTAGATTTCCATCCAATTAAAGCTCTGCATCTGAAAAACCAAGCCGAAGAACAAGACAAACATGACAGGGGATGTAATAGTGCAATTTCTCTAGGGGGGAACTAGAAGCGTCATCAAATAAATATTAAAATACATTTGTGCATTCTACAGGATCTGAATCTAGAAGCTCAATTTCATTCATATAAAACACAGGCCAAACACTTCGGCTGCTCTGATTCGTTGGTTAGTTGGCCGTGTTTAACCCTGCAGGTTTTGTGATTCTCACCGTCCTTTGGTTCATTTGGTCAGAGTCGTCAGATGTTAAAGAAAGAGGAAAAATGAATGGTCTACAAAAGCTGAACGTCGATCAGAAGAACATCAGATGAGCATCTCCTCCAGACCTTAAAGGGACAGTTCACCCTAAAATCAAACGATAGGATAGAAACAATACTGTAGAATAAGTGTTCGGTTCCCAGCATTCTTCAACATATCTTCTTTTGTGCTTAACAGAGGAAAGAAACTCATGCAGGTTTGGAACGACACGAGGGAGAGAAAATGATGACAGAATTATCTTTTTTGGATGAACTGTCCCTTTAAGGCCGATTCACACCAAAAACCGTAACGATAACTATATAACTAATAATAACTACAGTCTAAAACAATGGTGTGGGATTTACTTTGAAACTATTTTCACTCAGAAATGGCTAGTAAATTTCACAAATAATTATGAAAAGAGGCAAGTAACACTGAATTAAATGTGACGTTTTGAAGTAGAAAGGCTGAAACTGTATTTTCTCTTAGAATAATTTAAAGTTTTGTCCGTCGCTTTAAATGCTTGAGCTATCTGAATGTTTTTATTCTTTATCATTTTGACAATATCCTTAATCTGTGCCGTTATAGTTGTGGTGGAACTCGTTATTCTCATGAAATTAAAGTGATTATAGTTATCGTTATTTCATTATTGGCGTGAACAGACCTTTAGTCTGGGTCTGTGGTCTAGTCTTGGTCTCGACTAATGGAGATGTTTTATGAAAGCATCAGTGTTGTGGATCCTTCAGAGATTCTCCCATCATCCCTCAGCAGTGTGACAGTCCAGTGTGCTTGACCAGGAGTTGAACAGAACCACCGAACCTTCAGCGAGCGGATGAACAGAGAGAGATTGGAATGAGTCTCTGAAGGAGAAATGAAGAAGGCAGATTAATCGTGGATTAAGACCGGAGACTCGTTCTGGTCGTGTCCTTCCATCATCACCATCTAACGGGCCTGAATGCTGACCAGAACCGCTCCGCTTCCACTGGACCGCACAGATCACAGTCTCACTGCAGGTTCTTGAGGATGCGGCCGTAGCGGAAGTCGTAGACGTGTCGGCACAGGTACACCAGCTGCGGGTCGATGCCATCGGGCACCAGGTGGTGGGCGGGGCCAGTGCCGTCGGAGGGGCGTGGCACCGGGCGGTGGGTGGGGCCAGTGCCGTCAGAGGGGTGTGGCACCTGGCGGTGGGCGTGGTCAGCACTGTCGGAGGGGCGTGGCACCATCAGGGCGTGGTCGGACATGCCCTCCGAGCGGCGCTTCACCAAGGCACAAAATCTGCAACATCACATGCGATTATGAGACACGTGCGTAAGGAATGCATCTGAGCGGCGGCACAGCGCTTACCTACAGTACTGTGCTAGCGGCAGGACGTAGCATCGCTCCTCGATGCAGGCCACGCTGTTCTCATCCTGATGACGGGAGGCGAAGATCTCGTTCTGAAAGAAGACACGTGATGTTTACTCCTGAAAAATCACCCGGCGGGACTAACCCGCTGCCAGTGTGTGTGGGGGGTAACGCATTACAAGTTACGTCATCAGATTACTTTTTCCAATTAACTAGTAAAGTAATGCATCACTTTTTATTTACAAGAAAAGTACGAGTTAGTTTTTCAAATGTATTTTTGCATGTATTGACTAACAGCTCTCCGGTTGCCATGTTGAGAGGAATCAAGAAGCGTCGTGTGAACATGAGGACACTGCAGTTCTGGACTAAATGTCAACATGCATTTACTCGTCTCACTCAGATTCAGTATTCCTCAAAATGAAGAAAAACAGTGAAATGCAAACCTGCAATAATGCATTTAATCCCATTTTATTAACCAATGAACTTTGATGATCCAATTCAAACATACTAATAAGCAAAAATGACTTTAGGTAAACATTTGTTTTTCTTTTTTTTTTATTGCTGAAGAGTGTTGAACTTCTCCTGCGTTCTCTTCTTCATGTAATCCAGAACGGCAGCACAGCTGAGAGGTTTGCATGTATTGACTAACAGCTCTCCGGTTGCCATGTTGAGAGGAATCAAGAAGCGTCGTGTGAACATGAGGACACTGCAGTTCTGGACTAAATGTCAACATGCATTTACTCGTCTCACTCAGATTCAGTATTCCTCAAAATGAAGAAAAACAGTGAAATGCAAACCTGCAATAATGCATTTAATCCCATTCTATTAACCAATGAACTTTGATGATCCAATTCAAACATACTAATAGGCAAAAATGACTTTAGGTAAACATTTGTGTTTCTTTTTTTTTTATTGCTGAAGAGTGTTGAACTTTCTTCTCTTGCGTTCTCTTCTTCATGTAATCCAGAACGGCAGCACAGCTGAGAGGTTTGTTTGAGCGGCGCCCTCTACTGTACAGACGGGAATTTACATTTCCTTCAGCCTGAGGCTAGTGCTAATTTCGCTAACGAAAACTGTGACGAAAAATTTTTGTTGATTAGCTTTTTTCCCATGACTAAAAGGAGACGACGACGAGACGACAATAAGGTCAATAAACGATAACTGTGACTAGATCAACATGCAATACTGTTGACGATGAAAGACGACTAAAATGAATTAAAAAAATTTTAAAAACTATACCAAAATTTATTTTAATTTTCGTCGAAAAAACTAAAATTGCTGCTCACGCCTCTACTGCATATGTAATCCAGAACGGCAGCACAGCTGAGAGGTTTGTTTGAGCGGCGCCCTCTACTGTACAGACGGGAATTTACATTTCCTTCAGCCTGAGGCTAGTGCTAATTTCGTTAACGAAAACTGTGACGAAAAATGTTTGCTGATTAGCTTTTTTCCCATGACTAAAAGGAGACGACGACGAGACGACAATAAGGTCAATAAGCGATAACTGTGACTAGATCAACATGCAATACTGTTGACGATAAAAGACGACTAAAATGAATAAAAAAAATAAAAAAAACTATACCAAAATTTATTTTAATTTTCGTCGAAAAAACTAAAATTGCTGCTCACGCCTCTACTGCACGAGCGTTCATGTGTGCGGTTGCCAGATATCAAGAGTTTTTTGTTAAAAGGACACATCTTTGTGCTTATTGGTGAAAGATGCAATTCCTGAAATGGAAAAATAAATTTCTCAAATGACAACAATCATTACGATTGTAATTTTGAGCAAAAATAATTGTTTATCAGTTTAACTATTATACAGCATGATGAAAATGTGACGAAAAGTCTTCACTGACTAATGCTCAGACATTTAGTCGACTAAAACTTGACTAAACACAAGCAGGACGAGCTTGACTAAATATGATAATAACTAAAATTTACATCCGACACAGGACTAAGACTAATTTAAAAGACTAAATTCACTACCCTTCACTTTTGGTGTGAAAGGGCTTTTACATTTGCCAAAAATAGAACTTTTTATATTAAAAACAAAAAAGCAAGCCCAGGCCAGATGAGAAAAAGTAACGCAAAAGTAATGTAACGCAATACATTCTATAAAAAGTAACCAAGTAATGCAATTAGTTACTATTTTAGGGAGTAACGCAATTCTGTAATGCATTACATTTAAAAGTAACACTGCTGCAGGACTGAAGTGTGTTCAGATCACTAACCCAGCATAATAACAGCAGCGGCTCACCTCGCAGTGCATGCTGGGATCTCTGCCGCCCTGCGTGTGCTCAGGCCGATAGTACCAAAACAGACTCATCATCAGCTCTCCTGAAACAGAACCGATCAGATCATGTGATGAATGAGCAGAGACACTTAAAGCTCCTAAAAGACTCCAGCAAATATTGTTTTAAATGTCACATAATATAAGACTTCAGGTCATCAGTGTCATGCCGGGAACTATGAATTCGCCGTCTAGTTTCTGTTAATACAACAAAAATGAATCCTGTAGTGCAAACATTAATTGAGTAAACAAAAAAGCCACAAAACGGCTCCAGATTCACTCAAAAACGACTGATAAGCAGCATGAAGATCTCGTGTGCATTCACACAAACACCACCAACAGGTTAAACATCAAGCAGAGCTGCAGTGAAGCTGGTAATGAACACAAGACACTCATCCTGAGTCGCATAGACATTAGTGAACAAATCTTTCTTTTGAGCCGATGAACCAGTACACAAAATCATCTGAAACAGCTTGTGGCTCGAGTCAACACAGATTTACAAGTTACTCAAAAAAAGGTGAGTTGATTAAGACTAGCTTATTCACTTTAAATCTGCATTTCCCACCATTATTGTGTGCTTTAGTAATATCACTGCATATACGTCATGTCATCACGTGATTGAACTGCTAAATCGGTGAAACATGAAACTACTTCACATCACTAGCTTTGAGTCGTCTGACACAGTGCCGTTTTTATTCCCTGCACATGATTTGCGAGGTGATAAATGATAACCTGTTCTGGGGTCTTCCCACAGAGCTGAGATCTTGGCCACGTATGGCAGGGATTTCTTGCGGGGTCCGGATCGTACGAGCACAGTGTCTCGTACCCTGATCACCTCTCCGTCGCGCTCCACTCCTTCATAACTCTGACGGAGAACCGTCTCGTCATCGCCCTGCAGAAGCACAGCCATTACAGGTCAAACTCACAGATCTGACCTGCTCAACCATTCACCAGTCCTTCAATCGCTCACCGCAATAAACACCTCCTTCTCCATGGGGACTCCGACCGGACGCCATCCGTTCGTGGCCTGCCGGTGGCTCGCCTTCTTCTGATGCTTGGCACTTGCTGTGGGGTGTTTCTGGGATGATCTGCTGTGGCCCATAGTGAGCGAGCCATTGGATGGCTTGGTGTTCTGAGGGCATTCTTTGCCCACCTTAAGCCTGACTTCTGCCTCGGACATCGTGGACAGAAGGCGCGGGGTCACTCGGGGCATGCTGGGACATCCGGAGCGCGGCAGGGCCGGGGGAATGAGGAGCGTGCGACTGTGCTCCTCTTCTAAAACAGCACAATCAAACACTTCCATGAGTACTAAAAACATGCATCTCAATTTTAAAGTCAAGTTTTGAAAAATTAAAGTAAACGGTGGTTTACTGAATAAACTATGGCTCTGTCTTTAAATTAAAAGTCAGTTTTTTTTATGCAAAACAATGCATATTTTAATCAGAATTGCATGCTGTCAGGATGAGACTTCATGCAAAATGGAAACTATGAATTTCTAACATTTAAAGATAGGGATAAAACCGTAAGATGCTAGTAATGCGCTGAGGAAAACACGCTCTCTACTGTAGCGTACTTTGGTGCGTTCAAGTCTTCTTGGGAAGTTTGTATTTATGAGTTGGTAAGTCGTGATTACGGCATCATGTCGTTTAATGGCTCTGTCTTTAAATTAAAAGTCAGTTTTTTTTATGCAAAACAATGCATATTTTAATCAGAATTGCATGCTGTCAGGATGAGACTTCATGCAAAATGGAAACTATGAATTTCTAACATTTAAAGATAGGGATAAAACCGTAAGATGCTAGTAATGCGCTGAGGAAAACACGCTCTCTACTGTAGCGTACTTTGGTGCGTTCAAGTCTTCTTGGGAAGTTTGTATTTATGAGTTGGGAAGTCGTGATTACGACATCATGTCGTTTAAGTCACGTGGGTGGGAGCAAGATGCCAATGTACCATTTCTAACAAAAATTCACCACGATTTTTAAACTCTACTTCTACAAAATGACAAATAAAGAAGGCAGCGGCTATTTGCACTAAATGTAAATAGCATATTTTCTTAGCGATAGATGCTATTTACACTGTTAAAACAGCAAAATTTTCTGCTATTTATACTACTTATTGCAAATAGTAGCAATTATCTGCACGTCAGTATTGTAGTACATTATAAAACCCTACCCTATCCCTACCCAATACTTTATTTTCAACTTTTTGATTATTTCCTACATTTTTATTGAAAATAAATGCCTTTCCGATGCGATATGAGATTTGAAAAGGGAGAAAAAAGTTTGGCAAAAGGCGGGTTCGAACTCGGGTCGATCGCGTCAAAATGCACGCGCCTTACCATCTACGCCACTGAAGCTGATGGTAAACGAACGTCTTTTTTCAGTGTTGACTGTCCCAATCAGACGTTGGTGGGCACACTTAGTGTAAATAGACACTCTGAATAAAGAATGCCAATCACGTGTGTTTTAGCTTTTTTTGTTTCTGTTTAGGTTCTGTAAATTGAATTGCTACATATTCTGGTATTCAATGGCATTCTGTGCATGCAACTTAGGTTTACTGTATATGAAAACAATCATTAATTTCACCAAATTACCATCGCTGCATCCATCGCTGATTCCCTTCAACTCAGAAACTCAAGGCTTAAAAAAAAGTTCAGTTTCCCACTCGTAATTACGACTTTACTGTGGCGTTCAACTAGTAATTACGATCTTTCCGACATGACTTGAGTGCACCATTAGGCTAGTTTAAAGTGGTTACGTCTTATGTTTAGGACAATTTGGATCGTGCAATTCTCCCGAACTTTGCTGCAGAATAACTTACGTATGCTGCAGCACAAATCACTAGCTCAAGCACGTATCGTAACGTTACACTGGTGATATCGTGCAGCGATACCACCGAAGAGTCGTCATCCTCACCTGTTTTGATTGGATGGCTGCAGCTGGAGCAGTTGGTGGAAAACGAGCAGGTCCTGCTCTGCACGGCGCTGAAGGCGTATCCGCTGACCCGACAGGCCTCGCCGCAGCAGGGTGACCTGACTGACCCGCAGAAGGCAGGGTGTGGGACACCTGAGGAGGCCAGCAGCTGGGACCCGGAGTGCGTGCAGGGCAGCATCCGAGCGCTCAGACTCGCCGTCCCCGGATGAGCGATGTGGACGTAGTAGCTGGAGCAGCAGGGATCCACACACAGGCAGGGATGAGCGCTGAGCGTCAGGGCCGGATGCGCCGGAACCAGGCACTCGTGCTTGACCACCGGCTGCTCCTCGCCCTCGCCATACGCCTGCCGCCCGAGGAAGAGCGCCAGCCGGTGGCAATACCCCACCGAACCCTCCGGCGGACAGCAGAAGTACGGACTCAGCTCTGCTTCCACCGGCTCCTCCTTTACTAGCTTCACGGGACGATATCCCAGCATGCTCTGGTATCCTGCTTCAGCCAAGCGGTGGCTTTCCGGAGTCGGCTTTGACTCGAAGCTCCTGCTTTTGCACACTTCGCAGGCTCCTTCCAGTTCAGGCTGCGTCCAGTTGTGTTTCCCGGACTTCTGCGCTTGGGGTTTGCAGACGGTCTTACGGTCCGTTTTGATCCTGTGCTTGTTTGCGGCGGTTGAGCTGGTGAGCTTCAGCAGCGCGGCGGCGTTGAGTCCAGCCAAGCGTCTGGGAGTGGGAGCGTACAAACTCAAAGTGTCATGCGTCTTATCGGTCGAGGCCTTTTTCATCCGCTTGGGCTTTTGGCACGTCTTTTCGGCTCTTTTCGAGCCGGTCTTTGTTTGCTCTGTAGTGGACGAACCACCGCCTTGTTTCCTAGCGAGTTTGGCACCTGGCGGCCCGTCGGTTTTCTCGAGCAGAAGACTGTTGAGCGCCTCGGCATTGAGCGAGGCTAGTCTACGTTTCCGTGGCTCCTGAGCTGAAGGTTTATCAATGGTGGCCTCCGGTTTGGTTTTGAGGCGCTCCTGCAATGACTCCCTGCTGTTTTCTGCTTTCTTGTAGGGTTTTGGTTTCTTTTTGTGCCCTGAAACTCTATTAGGATCCACCTCGCACACCTTGGTGTCATCATCAAGGCGAGTGAGCAGAACGTGGCAACTCTTGGCCTCGCTTCTTCCTCGTAACGGGTAGAGCTTCCGATGGCACTCACTCGTAGTATTGCACTTTCCTTTCTTGGTCTTAGTTTCATTCATTTTCATTGAATGTTTTGCCAAACACTGACTCTCCCAAGCGCTGGACTTGACTTTCTTCGCCATGTCTTTCTTGGCCTTGCCTTCTCGCAATGAATGCACAGGCCAGGCTCCGCCCACAGTTTCACCATGTGACCAGCGCTCTACGTGGCCCCGCCCCTCGCCTCGATACTGGCCAATGGAAGCGTTTTTCCGAGCATGGGTCATGACATGCTTCCTGAGAAGAGCTACGGGATAAAGAGGATCTCAAGTTAATATAAAAAAAAACATGAACACGAGAGGAATCACTGCTTTTAGTAAGAAGAGGGTTTCTGCAGTTTTAAGAAAGTAAATTTAAGACCATGGAAAGAATATTTAAGGAATAAACTGAATGGAAAACAATCTAAATAATTGTCTTGTATTAATAACACTTCAAAGTTATAAAGTAATATTTCTAGCTTGAATACCTCTGCTCTCAACCACTTAATATAGAAATAACTTTACTGTACCTTCTGATCAAACTGCAAAAAAAGTGCTGTTCTTCAAACATCTAAACATCCTTAAATTAAGATACATTTACAGGAGATGCGCAAGAAACAGATCAAATATTAAGTGAGTTTATGATTAAAACAAGAACACATATCTGCCAAAGGCCTCAGAAAAATCAAGGGAAAACAAGTTTATTTTCTGACCCCATTGGCAGATATTTGTTTGTTAAGCATAAACTCACGTCATTTTGTTTAATTTCTCAGAAAGCAAAACTTCCTATCGTCTTTGTGCATCTCCAGTAAATGTGTCTTGATTTAAAGATGTTTAGATATTTATACTGGAAAACAAGACAGAAATACTGAGGAAGATGTTCATTTTTGCAGTGAGTGCGTGCAACATTTAATGTCACGACTTTATCAATTTAAGAGTTTCTGCTTCGATTTAAGACCTTTTTAGGCCTTCATTTGTGGAAGGGCGAATAAGACTTTTTAAAACCCGCAGAAACTGATTACATTCAAACATCGTTTTCTGAGGACTGAATAATATGTGCAATAAATCCTCACATTATATTACTGCAGCTATTTGTGCTAAAACAATGTCACATTTAAAGAACAGTTTACCTTGAAACATCAGGTAAATTCTGTCATCAAATACTGACTCCCGTGTAACTCCAAACTTGTTTACTATCATTTTCTCAGTGGAAACACAAAATGAGAGATTGTGAAATGTGATAGCACAGACACTACTGGAGGAGAGCTGAACCGAGCTGGACGATAACATCACTGAATCAACGACGAACTGACTTTAACTGAGAAACTTGTGTCCTCTTTTTAGTGCTGGACTTGACTAGTTTGCTGTGAGACGGTTGTCTCTATTTCATACACGCAGGTAGACTGAATAAGGTCTCAGAGCTTCAGCAGAGATCATCAGTGATAACTGAATTTCAGTCTGTTCATCACACTCAGACTTGGGATATACAGAGCGTCAAGTCTGCTCAAGCTGTCAGGTGCATTCAGGTCACTTTGGTCAGAGCAAGAATGCAATGCACCATTTCTACAAAAACATCTGCAAGATTTTTTAACTTTACTTTTACGAAATGTGCATGCGGCGTTTTCCCTTTTTACGCTTTTATTCAAATTATGAAGGTTCTGTAAATTGAATCGTTACACATTCTACTGTAGTCGTGCAATACTATGGAATTTTGCACATGCAACTAAAGTTAGTTTTACTGTAAAAGAATAAAAATAATTGAATTCAATTGAAGTCCATTATATGGAGAAGGTTTGTTGTGGCGTTCATGTGCGTTTAACTGGTAAATACAGTCTTCCCAACATGAACGCACTATTAGAGTTATGATGTTTTGTGTCTACTCCCATTCACTTTTGCTGGGTGAAGCAAAGAGCGCCTGAGACGGTTTCCAACACCACTTTGAGCAGCATTTGTGTTTGTGAGTGATTAATCACACATGCTGAATCTGGAATAGTTCTCACTATTTTACTATTAAACTCAGAATACAGCAAGAATATGAATTCGTGTAGGTGTCTTTTAATCCATGAAACAACAAAACTGTGTCCTTGAGCAACCCATTCAGGGTTCGAACCTACAACCTTTCAGTTACACCAGATCTCCAAGCTTTAACTGACCTGCAGTGTGGTTAGTAACGTTTGGTGATCGGAAACCGAAGTGCATGTCGGGCCACGGAAAGTGCGACGCCGAACCTGCCGCGAGCTCCTACGGTCGTGACGTCACGCCGCTCGTTAGCTCGTGACGTTGTCGCGGCGTTTGTTGTTTACTAGAACACGAGAGGCCTGACGTCATCCTTCAGCAGAAATAACGCCCTTCCTCAACAACAAACAACAACAGCGTCGGTGGCGTCACAATATAGTTACACAGTGCTCGCGATTTAAAGCGCCCTTGATTTGCGTGCGAGGATCAGACGCGTCCGCGCAGCACGGAGCGCGACTGAACGCGAGAGACGCGCCGCGCCGCGCCGCGCAGCGTGTTTATTCGCGTGCAGCAGCGCGAACACTCACCAGTAAACGCACGGAGGTCCCGCGGGGTGTTTGTCCGGAGCTGCTCGTCTGCTGCTGCTGCTGCTTCTCTTCCTGCTTCATGCGAACCAATAACACACACACATGCTGATCCTCGCAGCCTCCTCATCCAATCAGGAGAGCACGAGTGTGCAGCACGCTCTGCGTCCGAGCGGCAGCGCGAGAGCGCGTTATTAATCATAAACACTGGAGCATCATCGCTCTGTCTGTCTGAAGTATCTGAGCACTTCTAAACGTGTGAATGGCACTGCATTAGATTACAAGAATATACTCTGTTTTTGCTCTTACAGAACATTTGAACATGCTGCTGCTTCCCATACGGAAATTTAATTTATGACATATATTGCCCTATATATCAAACATGATATTGCCATATATTTACCTATAAGGCCATATATAATTTTCACATATGTTCATTCTCTGAGTTTAAACCCTCATAAGAAAAGTTATTTTTTTATGATATTATATGTAGCAATCATATATGCAACTTTATATTTAAACAAAATATATTTAAAAAGATGTTTATATATATATATATATATATATATGTATATACAGTACTGTGCAGAAGTCTTCGGCCATTAGTATTTTTATTACAATTAATGGCAAAAGGAATGTTTGGAAGTGTGAACTGATATTTCCTCCTGACACACTACAGCAAAAGATAGAAATAACTGACTTACAACCATTTATTTGTTGGTGAAAATACTAACGGCCGAAGACTTCTGCACAGTACTGTATATATACACACTGTATATTACACATACATTTATATGTTAGTAGATAAAATTGTTCCAATTTAGGTTTCATACATTATATTTTTATGTAATATGACAATACATTTCATATATGTACTTGCGTATGGGTTTTACTGGCGGTGTACTACAGCATGAATACTGCTGGCTTTTGGCAAACATCTAATGTTCCTCATCTGTACGTCACATTGGAGAACAGCATCTGCTGAATGTAAGTTCTGGATCTCTTACAGTCCAGCCTCATCTGGGTTCTCGGGGTCTGGAGTCCCTCCTCTCTGAGTAACAGGGAATGCTCTCAGAGCGTTCTGGCAATGTTCTCTCAAAGTCATGTTCTTCTAGTAACATTAACAGAATGTTTGTTTAAAGTTATCTGATGCACAAAAATGCATTATACGTTGTTCGTGAAGCTTTTTTCTGAAATGTTTCAGTTGGACAGTTTGTCTAACTTTTGAAAATTTTTTACTTGTTTCAGAATGTTCAGAGAACATTTAAAAAGTAGCATTCCAATGATGTTTGCAAAATGATACAATGAATTGTTTCCATGATGTCCGTACATTGAAGTCCATTATATGGAGAACAATCCTGGAACGTTTTCCTCAAAAACCTTCATTTCTTCGCGACTGAAGACAGAAAGAGATGAACATCTCAGATGACGTGGAGAAGAGTAAATGATCAGAGCAGTAACTCCTGAGAAGACTGAAGATGAAGCAGCCTGATGAAGTGTGCTGGTGAAACTGCTCCGATGATTGAGATGTGTTGATTGTTGAAGGTCACACACATCTCCAGATATGACTGTCAGAACACAGAAAATCACCGCTCACTTTCACTTTCAGTCAGAGAGCAGGGCTGCACTAACAGAAGACTAGCCACTTTGGTCACAGAGTCAAAAACATGTTTCCATATGAACAACGCATTCAACACTAGAACAGAAGCAAGAGACTCCGACTGAAAGCTATTGTTTAGTGCACACGCTCACAAGCTAAATCCTGCTTCACTTCACACCTTCGAGTCAATTCAGTTATATTTTAGAAGTAAAACACTTTATCCATGAATACAAGTGATGCCAAAGCAGAATATTCAGATCACATGTTAACAAATGTTTCGATTGCATTGGTTTAATGATTAAATATGAAGCATATGAAAGACACAAGGGCAATAAATGATGCGATGGGTGAGTTATTATGCTTTAATCGAACCTGTGAACTATGAGAGTGATAATGCTTAACTCCTTACAGACGGTCCACAGTTATAGAGTCATGAGAATACATCACAACACACAGAAATCAGTGTTTATTAGCACTGCACAGAAGCATCAGGTGCGGGAAGATCAAAACAAGAAATTATATTGCACAATAATTCATATTTTTTTGCAATGTGACCATCTTAAGCTGTATAAATGAACATGAATTAATAATGAACAATAGCAAATCTCTAATTGGATCTCATGTACACTAAAATAAAAAAGGTAGCATCTAAATTAACTGGATTTTTTCCAATCAAATTATTATTTGGCATCACCGAATCAACCTAAAATACATTCATTTATACCAACACTCTTATTTATGAGTTAAATCAGGTGCATTGCTCTTTAAGCTGTCGATCGCAGGTTACCATGCATTTTTTCCCAGTGTAAATCAAGGATCTGGATCATATTAACTGGATTAATAACCGTTCATAATATGCTGAATGAGAAGGAAAACAATGATATTTAACAGCTATGGGACATTTGATAAATTCCTGATTATGTTCAGTTCTTTGCATGTATCTGTGTGTAAATGTACATACCAGGGTTATTCTAGTTTACTAAACCTAAAAAATACATTTTCATTACTTGAACTAAAATAAATGTTAACTAAAATAAAGAACTGTATTATTATTATTATTTATTTTATTAAGTCAACATTCCATTTTCATTTATTACCTTGATGCACTAAAATAAACACATATATATTATGCAAACAAAAACTTTTATTTTGGATGCAATTAATTGTTTGACAGCACTAATATATATATATATAATTATACAAAATGACTAAAACAACTATAACAAATATAAAAATCTAATTCAAAACCTTAACAAAGAATGATAATAATATCTCAATGTACTAAAATAACAAAAAGTAAAATAAATTATATTATTTAAATGTTAGAGAACTTTAATTTGGATATTTTGTATTAAACTAAGAGTAAAGGATTTTTGGAAACACTTTACTTAAAGCCTTTATGTATAATGCATTATAAAGGGTTGTTAAAGGGAATAATGCATTATAATTATTCATAATGTGCGGTGTAATACATTATATCTTGTCGTAAATAAGTATAACCGAATTTTAAATGCATAGTGTAACAATGACTTGATAAGTGTTACAATGTATCAACTGTAGAAGGTGCATCACAAGGCTTTAAGTAAAGTGTTACCAGATTTTTTATGCAGATTGTTGTGGCTTTATTTGAACCTTTTATGTTATTGTTTTGTATGCAAAGGTCACAGTTCTCAAAACACTTCTGAAACTAGCAATCTAATCAGAAGCTTTCAGCTCATGCAGCGCTTCACGCTGAACAGGTTGTTGCCTATTCCATAGACATACGGGCTGACTGTGGTGTAAAACGTGGTGAGGAAGAACTCCAGCTCTGACCACAGTGTGAAGGAGTGCGGGTCCCACAGCAGATGCAGGATCAGATAGACGGTCCAGTTGAGCTGGAACAGAGTCATGGCCGCAAGGATGGCCTGCGTGCTGCGCTGGAAGCCAGATCTCCTGGGCCGCTGCTGGGACGTCTGCGATGCCTGTCGGGCCCTCACCGTCTTCTGCTGAGTTATTAAGATCCTGACGATCATGCTGCTCGTTATTGTGACTATCAGCAGAGGCAACAGGTTGCACACCAGAAGGAAGGAGTACTTGTAAACGCGGTTGCGAGTCGGGCACCTGGTTAACGAGCACTGGAAGAAATCGACCGGACAGCCCTGAGACGAGGAGTTCTGGTGACTCCAGTCCAGGTTAATGAGAAGCGTGGGCAAGCCGAAGACCAGAGCCACTGCGCCGCAGAAGACAGAGAGAAGCACGGCCGAACGCAGACTGTCCATGAAGACGGGCCGGCTGACCCGCGTGTGCACGTCCCGCAGCTTCTGATAGCGGTAGATGCTGATGAGGACCGTGAAGAGGATGCTGGAGATCTCCCCGAGGATGGTGAGGAACTTCAGGCCTCTGCAGCTCCAGACGCTGATCCTGCGAGAGGAGCGCAACAGCAAGATGTCGTAGACGTCCACGATCACGATCTCCTCCAGATTCGCCGCGGCCAGCCCGAGGAGAAAGATCTCGAAGGACTTCAGGCGAGGCGTCTGTAGGAGCGAGATAATCAGGACCGTGTTTCCTACAACGCCGATGACGGAGATGACGATCCTCAGAGCCAGAAGGTCCACGTAAAAGCCCTCCATGGCTCGACCGATGCGTTCTGCAGCAGATCTGGAGCCGCTTCTGCTCCAGCGGATCAACGTTTCTGTCATATCCCTGCATCCTGCTTAATTGGAGCTTAAGGAGGAGAACGGTGTAATTGATGCCTTAGAGCTTTGGTGTCCTTCATCTGGTGACGAGCAGGCGCTCAGGCTTAATTTCTCCATGGAGTTTGGCCTCACATCTCCATCACGGACTTGATGATTGACAATAAACAGCGGCTTCCAAGCAGAGCTGCTTTCATTATTTTTAATTAAAAACATTTTGCTGCGTCACACATTTGTATGACAGGTAGAATAACCTCATTAACAGATCTCTCTCTCAATCAAAACTACATTAAGAAAATCTTTATTTCAATCTAAAGTTTTACACAGTTATTCATAATAATACAAAGGTGCTTGTAGATGCTTTTGGTTTTTATGGCAACCTCACATGATTTGGTGATTTAAAAAAAACAACAATGTAATGAAAGAAGTCTCTTCTGCTCGGCTGCATTTATTTGATCAAAAATACTGTAAAAAATGTGAAATATTATTACAGTGTAAAACAGCTGTTTTCTATGTGAATATGTGTTAAACTGTAATGTATTTCTGTGATGCGCAGCTGTATTTTCAGCATCATTACTCCAGTCTTCAGTGTCACATGATCTTCAGAAATCATAATAATATGCTGATTTGCTGCTCGAGAAACATTTCTGATTATTATCAATGTTGAAAATAGATTTATTTATATTTTTATTCATCTGTGATGCATTAAATTGATTAAAAGTGACAGTAAAGACATTTATAATGTTAGAAAAGATTTCTATTTCAAATAAATGCTGCTCTTTTGAACTTTCTGTTCATCTTTGA